TTAAATATAATTATATACATATATTTATTCAACAATGCATATATGTATGATTCTCACACATAAAAACAAGACATAGGTCACGTCACGTCAGCTAATCTATGTATTAATTTTGAAAAAAAAAATGAATTCTTTGATGAAAAAAAAATGAATCTTTCTTCGTGAACAAAGGTGTTTTGACAGCATAAGAATTTAAAAAAATAAATAGATTTTAGTATTTTTGGTTTATAGTATTTAATTATCTTTAAAACCGTAATTACTTTTCAAACTTATCAAACTATCTTCAAAATTTTGCAACACTTAGTTTTTTGAAAAAAATAGAAAAGTACAATGAAAAGTATTGAACGACTTATAACAACAAAACTCCAAGAACAAAAAAATATATTCTTAAAGAAGTTGACAAACTTCTAAAAAACCAAGAAGCAACATTTACATGCTCAAATCTGAAAATTATCACGGATAGACTTGATAAATTCGAAAGCGAAATTAAAACCAACAAATCAAAAACTTTAACATTAGGAAAAACTTAGAGATATCAAAGAAACTTTTAACTTCCTAGAAGAAAACTTCACAAATAAAATAGCACAAATGAGCCAAAAGTGTAATGATGAAATTAGCATATTAAAAAAGAAGACTATAGATTTGGAAAATAGATCATGCCGTAACCATCTAAGAATTGACGGAGTAGCCGAATCTAACTCTGAAACATGGAATGACTGTGCTAGCATAGTCAAAAGTATCTTTAAAAACCGTTTGGGAATTGCGGAGGACATAGTAGTTGAGAGAGCCCATCGAGTAGGACAAATAAAAGAAGACAAACCGCGAACGATAATTCTCAAACTTAAATTTTCATGAAAAAAACAAAATATTATCTTTAGCAAAAAAACTTAAGGGCAGTGGAGTATTCATAAATGAAGATTACGCAAATGAAACATTAGAAAAGCGAAATAAACTTTGGGAAGAAATAAAAAGACACCGAAAAGAAGGTAAATTTGCAGTTATCAAATATGATAAAATTTTTGTACGAAAGTTTTGGAAATAAAAAATAAACTTATAATTATGCGCAATGGCTTACAAAACAATTGACTTTGAAACAAAAAAATCAAGTTTTTTTGAAACTGATAACAACATTTTAATTCACGATTTTTATGACGCAGTTAAACAACTTTTTAAAGGATTAGATTTTAATTTGCAATACTTTGACATTGAAACTTTTAAAACGTAGTTAAAAACAGATATATAAAATTTCATGGTGATACACATCAATATCAGAAGTTTAAATTTGAATATAGACAAATTAAAACCCTTTCTTTTAGAATGCAATTTCTTTATTTAACATGATTTGTTTCAAACAATCATGATGTAATGATGAGCCAACTCAAAAAAGTTCAAATTTTTACTGGTCTAAACCTAGCATCATAAATAAAAGGCTCAAAAAAATCGTTTCAAAATTATTTTAGTGACTTTGAGAGTTCATTGCCAGATAGTGATCTAACTTTTGATAAACTAGATCAAATCAATCAAAAAGAATAAGGCCCCAGGTATTGACGACATTTCTGGCAATGTTGTACTTTATGTTTAATATCTTCAGCTCTTCAATCAAAAACGGAATTGTCCCAGACAAATTAAAAATAAAAAAAATTGTACCTATATTTAAATGTGGAGATACATTTGAAATACTCAATTATAGAACGATCTCAATTCTCGCTGTATTTTCTAAACTCCTTGAAAGAATAATTTACAACAGTATAAATATTTAATAGAACATAAAATTTTAAGTGAAAATCAATACAGATTTCAAACGCAACATTCAACGGAACATCCTATCCTAGATCTCATTAATAACATTACGACTTCCTGTAATGATGCAAAATGGAAAAATGTGGCATAAAAAATCAAGATGTAAAATCAACTTGAATCAACTAAAAATAAAATGTGGGGTCTCTGGATCTATTCTAGCTCCTCTTCTATTTTTAATTTATGTCAACGACCTCCCTGAAGTCTCATCTAAGTTAGGTTGCCAAATTGTCATTAAATTTAAACAAAACTAAATACATCTTATTTCACCCAAACCAAAAAAAAAGCTATCCCATCAATTTTACCAACTCTTAGTATAGACAACACAATTATTGAATGAACTCAATCATCTGAATTTTTTAGTGTGCTTCTTGACGAGAATTTATCATGGAATTTTCACATAAATACCATTAATAAAAAAATCTCAAAAAACATTAGATAAACTTCAATTGTTTTTAGACATATTTAAATGTATGGAATCAGGGCATGGACCTAAACGAGTTCAGTGCGTTACCCATGATACCAAAAAAGCCCTTGTGCAAACTACTGAAGGATTGATAGCTGTCTGCAAACATTTGTTTTCAGTTGGTTTTGATTATGTTTTGCTTCGTGAGCTACAAAGTGATAGAATAGAAGGAGATCTTTCTGTTTATAGACAATCAACAGGGGCAAATGCTTTTATGGCAGCTGGTGATGTTTTCTCTGCTTTTAAAAAGCGTTTAGCTAGATTTGCTGCATCATTTTTAGAATCAGTGGAAGTAGGACAACCCAATAAATAAGGTCACATATGTGAGGGTCCAATTAGTATTAAAGATGCAACCTCAATTGAAACATGCATTTATGATGTGAAACTGAAGAGAGCTCTATTGCCTATGTAGCAGGGTGGCTTGAGAAAAAATGTGAAGATGAACTAGTTTATCCAGATGATGAACCTGAACTAACAAATGAAGCTAAAGACTTTATCGAAGAAGTTTCAAGGGGATATTTGACAGTTTCATATGAGTGTACTTATCAGCTAGTTAGAATTGTTTTATGCTTTGTGAAAAAAACAAAGCACAGAGCATGTTGTAGAAAAAGACTTATAAACATTCTATCTATAATGGACACATATTATGACTTTGGTTTATCATCAAAGAGTTTTTTTAGGCGTTTAACAAATGTCTTCTGCATGGAATTCAGAATTGGATAAAGATCAAGCAAAAAATGCATGTCTTTATCAGACATCAATTAAGAAGGCACGCCTTGCTGAGTAGTGAATCTTTCTTTTTAGATTTTTTACTTGACAAATATTGTATTGTTTTTTTCTTTACGAAGTTATATTAAGTTCATTATGCTTATTTTTTTTTTAATTTAATATATATTTGCTGTTTATATAATAAGAAATTTAATTAGAAAGAAACGTTTACATACAAAAAAAGTAAATTTACAATAAACAGGCAGGGGCTCAAAGAAGATACGGATGACTAAAGTCACCACAATCTTTTCATAGAGCCCCTAGGTGGGCTTTACAAGTTAAAAAAAATAGCATCTCCAATATAATAAAAAGGTTAATGCTTGCATAAATATTTCCATTAAATCAAGAAAGTAAATAACATCATATAGTTTTATCAATATTGATTAAAATATATTGGCAACTCTGTTAAATATCAAAATAAGCGCCAATTAACAAGTAAAAAACTAAGAATAATGGAACTCGTTTTTCATTTCGAAAAATCACAAAAACTATTTATCTAATTTAAAAATTTCATTTTTTATTATATACTTAAAGGAATTTAATGATTTTACAGTATTTAAATTTTTTGTTTTTTGAAAAGTGTTCCATAGTTTAAAAAAAAAGTTTCGACATTGTTAAAAAGTCTCTAGAGAATATGATGTTTATATGTTTATTTCTTTATAAATAAATTGTGTCAATAATATGATTGTTTTTTTATGGAGGTTTTTTATATCGATCTTTTAAGCTTTTTAAAATAAGTTTTGATTTTGAACAATAACGTAAAATTATTTTAATCGTACTTCAGAATTTTGATTTTATATAACGTTGTTTAAGCTAATTTCAGTTATTTAGGAGTTAAGCGAGAAATATCGATTGGCCTTCGCTAGCGGAGTCAGGAAATCGACTTTGCGCGTCCTTCCGTATTCTTTGATTCAAAAATATAATAATGAATAAAATAGTTATGAATATCTCATAAATTTGTTTTTTTAAAAAAAGTTTCTCGATGACAAGACTTAGCAGTTTTCAGCGAGTTTCTCTTGACTACATTACTAAAGGTTTATTTATTCTTTTTTCAAGATTTCAATTGTTTTTTCAAAATATAAACTGTATAACTATTATACTTTATACATCAAATATATCTTAATATTATTTCAGTCATTATTGAAGCATTTAGACTATATTTGTAATAAAAGTATGTATTTACAATACATACTCGATACGACTTTATAGTTAAAAAAATATATGGAAAAAGAATCCTCGGATGGAAAAAATCCCAATCAATATAAGATAAACTTAAATTAAAAAACCATGAATTAATAAGTTCCTACGCTCAGATTTTTTAAAAAAGTTTTTTTAAGTATAAACTAATTACACTTTTAGCAAGATTATTTTCGAAGAGAACCATTTTTTAAAATTACACTCATGTATGTTATTTTTTATCATTTTCCTTTAAAAAAAACCAGTTCTATAATTTTAATTCTATTAAAAATATACAAATGTTACATTTTACATCAACTTATAATTATATTGTTGCTAGTTTAAATTATTCTTTGTAGCTAAAGACCATAGCCACCTTTAAAGTGATAAACGTTTGTAATAGATGTGTTTACTTATAATTAGTTTCCACTCCTAAACGACCGTGTGGTTCGTATGTTTATTAAAAAATATTATAATTCATTAATGCTTTTAAAGCGTGTCTATTCAAAACTTTTAACCCCTTTTTAATTGAAAATAAATTAAGATTATGCAAATATTTTACATGTTTAATATATATATATATATATATATATATATATATATATATATATATATATATATATATATATATATATATATATATATATATATATATATATATATATATATATATATATATATATATATATATATATATATATATATATATATATATATACTTTTCCCTAATTGTAAAAAGTCTCGTTATTTTTTACGGCAAGGCAACTTCGCAGACTCCATAAAAAATAAAAAAAAAACCACCGATCAATTATATATTTACTTTAAAACTTACACATTCTATAGGAAAATGAGCTTATTCGATTTATTCACACATTCTTTAGAAATAACATTACTAATCTGAAAGCATCGTCGATAAGGTTGGCAAATAACTAAGATCTTGCGTCAATCTTGTGAAGAGTCATTTTTAATTGCTTAAGATATCCTACGTATTATGTATAATAGATTCTGTGTATAAATATTCAACAGTAGCATTTTTTTTAAAACCGCGTTTACGTTTTTATATTACGAAAATATTTTATCATCTTTTAAAAAATATCTTAGCTGGCGAAACCCGCATTCAAAATCGTCGCTTCAGCAAAATCGTATTATTTTTACTCAACAAGCTTAAATTGTTTTACCAATGCTTTCAGACCTTTTTTAACGTTGCGCTTCATAGCCTTCAATGTAGGTTGAGACATCTATTTCTGCAGGGAGTTCGCTGACATTAACTTCAAAGCGATCCTGGACTCCGTTCAGAACTTTAGCATCTTCTTCATCAGAAACAAAGGAAATGGCTAAGCCTTTTGTGCCAAAACGTCCAGCTCGAGCAACCTACAATAAAATAGTAAAATTACGCATTTAAACAGATTACATTTAGAGAGAATCTGACACAGAAAACTGTTGTTTTACGTAAAGAACTTTTCCTGTCAGGCAATTTCATACAATCATTTTTAAACTTTTAGAGAATGATTAAATATATAGTGTACTTAATTAACTAGTTAAAACATTTGTAGGTACAGCATGCTGGTAAAAGGCATAGAAAGTTTAAATAAAACTAACTCTGTGAAGGTATGTATCAGAGTCTTCAGGCATATCATAGTTAACAACTATATTAACTCGCTCAATATCCATTCCTCTTCCAAACAAATTTGTTGCAACAAGTATACGCTTTTGAAAATCTTTGAATTGTCGATAACGAGAAATTCTAAAAGTACATAGTTTATATTGAAACAACGGTTTTCTCTGGGTCTAAAAAAACTTCATCTCATAAATAGAATGAAGAAAATCTTGTCGTAACATTAAGAAACAGCTAACATGATGCTTAGAAGAAAAAATGCTAATATCATGGCTTAAAGTATTCAAGAATTACTTGCCAGAATATTACCATATGGCTAGAACTGATATCAAGTAAAAAACAAACATAATACCTTTCTTCTTGTGGCATAGATCGATGAATGGCAATAGCAGGGAAATTTTGTTCAACAAGTAAGTTTGATAGTGCAATGCATCTTTGAACAGATTTCACAAATATTATAACCTGATAGATAAATTAAAAAGCTCTTCATTATTTTACTAATTTTATATTAAAGGCATAAATTTTAAACATATATTTACCTGGTTAAATTCTAAAGCATCAAGTAAATCAAATAATTTTCTATTCTTCTCGTTATCTTTTAACTTGCAGTAATGCTGAGTTAAGCCATGCAGAGTCAACTTTGTCTCGTCATCAACATAAACTTCCATAGGCTGTATAAATATATCTTCACATATTAAAAACAAAAAAACATAACGCTACCAGTAAAGTTGAAACAAACATCCAATGAAAAATAACATCACCTAACACTATCATAAAACTTATAAAACAAACTAAAACTCTTAAATAATAACTGACTTTACTGAATACTCTTATAACTCATAATGAAGAATACTTTAAACAATTACATAACTAAGCTTGTAACTTGTAAAAACAAAATTTAATTTTGATGTTTAACATGTATAAAATAAAACAAAATTTAACTCTAAAAACAAGGTATTTCTAAGAAAGCCACCTTGGTGTTTTAGATAATTTTTTGCCATATTTGAGACTTATTTTAACACAGCAACATTGAGACTTATTTTAACACTTTTTTTTTCTTCAATAAAATATAAAACTTTAAATTTTACTAATTTGGATTAAATTTATAAATAAATGTAAATTAATTTATTTTTACTATCAGTAGGTACGTTACCTAAAATGTGCCACACATGCATATGAACACCCTTAATAACGGTTCTTTGTTATTAAGACAAAATACAATAGTTTATTTGGATGTTAAATAAAACCTCAGCACAAAATATTAAACAGGCAATCAAGTTAAAACTTCATCATACAAAAATCTTTCTATAAATGTTTTTAAAACTTTACTAAACTAAAGTATAAAGCTGAATATGAACGATATAAAGGACATAAAAACAAGATACTACCATCAACTCTTGAATACATCCATTTAATAAATGAAAGCATCTTTCACTCTTTCTTTTCATTTCTGTTTATCATCTTAAGTTGGTAAGTTGGAAGCAATTAAAAAACGAAGTAAATAATAGCAACATTTGTCTTGCTCACTTGAAAACTCATGGAAATGGAAAGAATCAACAAAATGTAATCAAATGATTATGAATGTAAAGTCATCAATATTTGCAATAACAACCATTAAATGATCTCTGAGTTATGACTTGATAAATGTTATGAATTACAATCCTCTGAATGTAATGGATTTGATTGACAATCAAAACAACAAGACTTAGGAATACATGATGAATGATTTTGAAATCAGTACAAAATAGGATATTTACATCTTGCATAAACTTTTTGCAAACCAAGCGCATTTCTTTATTAAGTGTTGCACTGAACATCATAACTTGCTTTTCGTGTGGTGTCATTCTGAAGATTTCTTGCACATCACGACGCATATCTAGATTATATAACAAACAACATTCAACAATATATTGTTGAACACAAATGCAAGTAGCTAAGAAATTATTATAAACATAAATTAAAGAATGAAAAGGAAAATTACCTAATTGTTCAAGCATTTTATCACACTCATCTAGAATAAAGTGTTTAACATGTTTTAGGTTCAAAACTTTATCTCTTGCGAGTGCTAAAATACGACCAGGAGTACCAACAACAATATGCGGGCAGTTTGTTTTTAATGTTTGCTCATCTTTTTTTACACTTAGACCACCAAAAAATACAGCTACTTTAGTGTTTGGAAGATATTTTGAGAATCGCTCATATTCTTTGCTAACTTGAAAAGCCAGTTCTCTGGTATGTGACATGACAAGAACACTAACCTGGCTATCAACAGGTTCAAGTTGCTGGAGAGTAGCCAGGACAAATACAGCTGTTTTCCCCATTCCACTTTTTGCTTGACATACAATATCCATTCCAAGAATTGCTTGAGGAATACATTCATGCTGAACTAAAAAAAAAAAGAAAAGAGCATTTTAAGGTAACCTTAACACTCAAGTTAAAAAACTTTAACACTAAGTTAAGGTAGTTTAATGCTTAAGTTAGATTTCTAACATTCATTAAAAGCTTATTCAATAAAAAAAAAAAAAAAAAAAATCTAAGAAAAGCATTGTTTCACTCATAAAATAAAGATAAAATTCAATATTAATACTTTTCTGAACAGAATAAAAAATCTACTAAATATTAAATACTTACACACAACTAAAAATAAGCCTAAAATATTCCTTACTGTTTTGTTCTACAGTGCAAGCAAAGTAAATACTTATTTAAGCTGTTATTCATTGCAGATAATGCTTTTTAAGATAGGCATGTGCTACCTGATTTTGTAATCAAAATATTTGAACTTTATTGTGACCTTGGCATACGTTTTGCAAGATGTCGCGTGATTTATTAAGATTATATGAACATAGATATTTTATAAAAAGTACATTAGTTAAACTTAATTTTTTTTAGTTGTAACCAATTCACATTAATATTGATCATTTGAAACTTAATTCTCCACTTAAAAATTCGTTCTTAATCATATACAAAATTGATATCAAAGAAGGGTTAAAAACTATTGAGCTAAGATTATGCAGCAGACTTTTTGTAGCAGAATATGTAACCAAGTTAAACTATTGTAAATAAAGCAAACTATTGTGCAGATAACAAAAAAGTTCCATAACAAAACTAACGTAAGCCAAACGTGACGTTTTAAAATTAGTCGCATTTTATTAAGCAACTTTTGTGTTCAAACTTTGTTAAATAGATGTACACAACTTTTTGTAGAATTGTTGTAAAGATTTCACTAATGTAAAACTAATTTTAACTTCTTTCAAATCATATATAATAATTATATATAAAAATACTATGAAATTTTTACACACGTACCTAAAAATGTATATAGATTATAAAAATCTTATTACCTTCAGATGGATGTTCAAAACCACAATCAACAATCGCTCTTAATAACTCCGGCTTTAACAAAAAGTCTCTAAATCCTGAACTGTGTATTGATACGTATGTTCCTTTCACTTCCTTTTTAACACTATCAGTTGCTTGAACACCATCTTCAGCAGCAGCTTCGTTATCACTTTGTTCTTCATAATCAGGTATAAACTCCTCATCCTGAACATCAGCCATAGTTGTTTATGACTAAAATAAAACAACAATAACTTTGAAAACACCATTCTAAATTTAATTTGCATTGTAGATCTAGATGCAATTAACGGATTGCTTAGATAACCATGGAAGTTCTCATATTATTTGCAACATTACTTACTTTCACCGTTGAATTGCAAGATGGAGTAAAAAAGTTAAGTTTGTTAGGCAAATTATTCGAACCAGTTAGGTTTTGTTCCGCAAAGTAACTAAAATTAGCAAAATTTGTGTCAGTGTGTTAGCACAAAAATATTATCAGTAAAACTTAAAACTATTAAAAAAAAAAATGTCTTAAAAGTATTATCAAAATAAAAATGATTTTTTTTTTTAAATATGGTTTTACAAAAAAATAAAATTTGTAATAATTTTTTTAATTTATTTTTCGACATAAAAAATTTATATATCAATAAAAAAAAAATTTCACGTTTTTTAATGCTGAATCAGCAAAAAAATGCTTAAAACATCACGCAAAGAGCTCCAGCTATCAGTATAAAAAACAATTACAATATCTATGATCTACAATTGTTGTAATAATGTAATAATAATGCAATAACAATAAATATTGTATTGCAATTTATCTTTATAATAGAATAACAATATCTAAGGAAAAAAAGCTACTGGTATGTAAAAAATTTACTTGTCCAGTCGTTATGCCATGTAATTAACCTTAAAATAAGGTGCAATTACTATTTTATGATTCATGCTAGTTCTATTTGATATAATAATAGTATAATAAAACAGTTTATTATTCTTATTTTGTATATTAGTAGGGCTGTCATGAGGCAGGTAAAATTTTGTAGACTTTTAATGTTTAAATATAGGCTTGTTCGTACTATGAAGATGGTAGTTTGATGCGATCGACCCCCATTTTTACCCATTATCTTTTGTTTTGGCGCAAATTTTGATACGAAAATCAAAAACAATATTTATTTGGTGTTCTAAACTCTCACATTTTTCAAAAAATGACCCCCCTCCCCTATAAAAATATTTTTTCATTTTTATTTTTTTATTTTGTTTGCCGTATAATATTATTAGTAGATTTATAATATTATACGGGCAGGACTTCAAAAAGATCATAATGACATTATCACGAAGCCCTTAACAAAACTCTATTTTCTTCTATAATAGAAACATCTATATACTATATGAAATAAATATTAATATACCGAGAATATATAATCACTAAATAGATCATAAATTTAATACTCTACATACTTCAGAAGTGCAACTCAAAATAAAACATAACAAATCAATATGCAGTATAGCAGCTAAAAAAATTTTTTTTTTAAATAAAAAAAAAACAAGAATAATTTTTGTTGAGAAAATGATTTTTTTAATGGATTGTTTAAAAAAGGAATAGATGAAAAAATAAAAAAATAAAAAAATTATGCCTAATATACGTAATAATAACAGCCTAAATTATATTTAGGCTGTTATTATTACGTAGGTTGTATTTGTTTTGAGGTTTAATTTTGTAAAGGTTTACAAAAACGTCGGGGGACATAAGTTCTTTACATTAGTACATAAAACACAAAACATTAAATAAATTTAGTTGATAAACATTTAAAACATTAAATACATTTAGTTGATAAAGGCGTCCATTTTTATAAAAAGCGGTACAGAGTTCAAAAAACAATCGTGCGTTAAGATCGTGACGAAAAACGATATGTGACGACTAATCTGAAAATCTAGAAAAAACTATTTCATAATAAAAGCAGTTCACACGTTTATACAATCTCATATATAATTACCCAGGCCCCGACTCCTTAACGTTACTCGTTAGCGGTTAATTATAATCACAAAAATAAATTATTTTCACGCGCTTTGATTTTCACGCGCTCGTAATTATTCAATCAGTTTAGACGTCATCATTTGGTGAAACATTTTAATACCAGTAACATAATAAAAATAAAATCAAAAATTTTACACTATAAAGTATATAAAATTGTTTACATTCTGATTTAAATTTCTGAAGAGAATTTTTTTCCAGTAACAATGTTTAGAAATATTTCCATAAAAGGTTCACGAGTTCGAACAAAGTCTTGTTTAAAATTTTGGAGCATGGAAGTTGTTTTCTAAAAGTCTTTAAAGTATGAATCATATAGACAGTCCAGAATTTGTTTTACACATCAACTATAAAACAAAATGAATGCTTAGTTTAAAAATAGGGCACCTAAATTCCGAAAAAAAAGGTTCACAAAGAGCTGTTTTATTAATTCCTAACACAGTTCTGCAGAGATGTTTTTGTTTGCTGTTTAATTTGCTTAGTTTAGTGTAGTTCTTGCTAGCCCAAACTATGCTGCCGTTTGTTAAGTGACTTTGTATTAATAAAAAATACAGATTTTCTAGGAATTCTATATTTAAGAATGGCTTAATTCTATAAAAATAGGAAAGTTTATTCATATTTTTCTTTCAATTGAGTTTATTTAACTATTTATTTTTTGTTTATTTTTGTTTTTTATTTTACATTTATAATTTATCTTTAAACAATATACAAAAAAGGAAAAAAATACAAATGAATATAACAATAAAAAAAAAAAAAGAAATAATATGGAAACTCAAAGGACCTCTAAAATTTGAAACGAAACCTTTTAAATATTTTAGCAATTTTTAGGTGTTTATGGTGGTTGGGGTGGTTATAATAATCTAATTATCGAGTTTTTCTTAGTAAATTATATATAACTTATATTTAAATTATATATGATAATCGATTTCTTATATAAGAGAGCGATTGCAATGAATATATGTTCATGTCCATAGTTTTTAAATGAACATTTTTTCTTCTTTTTCTTTTTTTTTTTAAATAGATTTTGATTAATAGAGTTAATTTTTTAATTAATAGTAAATAATACTTAAAGTAAATAATAATAAATCAAATCAATAGAGTTAATCTTCGTCAGATTTCGTCAGATCTTAAAACAATACTTCGTTGTCTTTATGTACGTTACGATTTAGCAGCATGCCATCCCCGTTGATAAAAGGTTGAATAACTTTTTTAAAATCCATTTTACTGTCAAGCATATTGTTGAGTTAACCAATCACTTTATTTTATTTTTTAAACATTTAAGTTTACATTATACAATACAATATAATAAGAATAAAACAAAAATTAATACAATTTGTAAAGTAAGCAAATACTTATAATATTTGAAAAACTAGATATCTAAAAGAAGATCAGTAAGATCTTGTCTATTTTATGAATATTTTATAAGTAACAAAACATAAAAATAACAATAATAAAAATAATTAAAAGATACAAAGCATAAAATACAAAACATTATAAAGAAACTGAAATATTATTGCTAAAATACTGTATTATTTACAAATGAATTTTAATCTGTAAAAATACCATATCGTAGTTTTTTTATTTTCATAAAAATTGACATTTTGAGGATTTTGTAAATATTGACATAATATATAATATTGTAGGTATTATGTGTTTTTTTTCAGTATTCAAATCTTTCCCAAGATCTAAGTTTATACATTTTGAATAGTCGTTTATATTAAAAAAGCCTTTCTGCTTTGGTTTTTTAAGAAGGAAAAGTTTTGGTGCTTTCCCTACATCCGTAACAACCTTCATTCCAATCCTCAGGGATACCTGTCAAGATTGTTTTTCTTGCTAAACAGATGAAAATCTTCATTATTTGTCAAAAAGGAGTGGCCTCTTATAGAAAAAATGTGAGTTACACGATCAATTTTTTTAAGTACTTGCACTACCATATACCAGAACCAATTTGCGACAAAATTTTAATTTTGTCTAGAACATTCATCACTTAAAATATACAAGGTTTTTGTACCCTGAGGCAAATGTTTATTTAACCAGCAGAGCAACATTAACTTTACATCATTTTGCCCACGTTTTGCAACTACTTCATAATAAAAATATATGAACACATCATTTTGGGATAAATCTTATATCCCAAACATATAGTACCATAACTGCCTAGAATAGAATACATCATTTGTAACCATATTTGGCAAAGGCAAATTTTGCAAGAAGTCGAATGATATGACAGTAATATCAGTAGGAGAGCTCGCTAATAGTTTAATACGTCGCTTTTTGTTTGTAAACTCTTGAGCTCTTGCCAAATTAAGCTTGTGTTCTATATCCAGTTTTTGTTTGTCTTCTTCAGGAAAATCAAAGTATTAAAGGTTTATTTAAACAAAATCCCAGTATAAACATGTATTGCTGCAAGGAAATTAAAAGGATAGATTGTATTTGTTTGTAAAAGTTCTGTAGTATGTTTCATATTTCAGTTAGACTTTGTAAAATTGTAAGAAGAGTTTATTCATTTTTTTTATGCTTAATATATCTAAAATGTATCTTACAATTTTATTTTTGTTGAAAGAATAATGGTTTTAACGGCCTATGAAGGGTTGTATATGAATATAAATGAGCTGTATTATTTGATCAGGTCAGCATGTGTGCAATTTTTATGTTTTCCTCGTTAATTATTGGAGGCTAATCTTGTGTTAGATTTTGATTAGATTTTGAATATGTCTCAGTCGAGGATGAGAAATACTATGAATTGATGAAAATGCTTTCATACAAATCTCAAAGTTAAGACCATCATCTGAAGATTTGATTAAAAGCAAACAATTTTTATTAAGAATGATGAAGATTTGTATGCATTTTATAAGATGCATCAGGAATAATGATACTGACCTTATAATTGTAAGATGCTGAATGCATGTAAATATCATCATTAATAGGAATTACGTCTTACAAGTTAATTTTTTTCCTTCAACGTCTTCCTTTTACATTTAAATAAACATCTTGTTTATTTTTAGTTTCCATATTGTAAAACAAGCAAATATTAAAGTTCTGAAATCTGAATTTATTGTTTCAAAACAGTGTAATTTCTTGCACCTTGAAAATTAGGCAAATTAAGATATTTAAAAAGATTATAATTTAACTTTTTATTTAAACCAATGTTTCAAGTAAAACTTGTTCAACAAAAGTTATTAATCAATAAAATAATCCCATCCGAAATAGCTTAATTAGCATCCAAATAACAATGATGATGATGATGATGGTGATGATGATGATGATGATGATAATGGTAATGATGATATACACATAGCCATACACATAGCTTGTCATAGGAATGATGCATGTTTAGTAATAAATTATTAATAATAAATATATCTCTTTTATTAGTTGATAATATTTTATTTTAATGCTTTATTTTATACCTGCAATCTTTTCCAACGA